CTAAATATCAATAAACATTAATTATCTATTTGGAGATAAATAATGATGGATGAAATACTCCAAACATTATCATATCAATAATCATGAAGCTCAGGTTGCCGGCTTCTTTTCCCTGGGAATCCTGCCCATCAAGTAGAACTCGTCATTTGGCCTCATGTCGGTCAGGTGAGCCATCCTGTTGGACAGTGCGAACAGAGCAGCGATGGCGCCGATGTCCCACGCGTCCTCTCGGTCCAGGCCGTGCTGTTCCAGCTTGTGGAAGTGCCCCTCCGTGATGGTTTCCGAGGCTCCCACAGCGGTGGCAAACTCCAGAATGGCCTTCTGTCTCGCATCAAGGTCAGCTATATGCCAGTTGGTGGCAACCTAGGTTAGAAAAACCAAAGGACCATTAATGGTCATCTAGGAAAGACATTTCATCTAGAAAGAATGTTTCAAACCTGATGGGTAAGAAATGCATGTTTTTGTCAAGGCAATTTTATTGAGATCCAACAGCTTTATCATGTCCAAAGAGGAACCCTGGAACGTATGCATGTAACTGAAGACACTGACAGTGTCAGTGTAATAAATAGTTAAGCCCTAGTCACATATATCTTAAGATGCACCTATGATGAGGGTTTCAAGCAGATTTCAGATTATGCTACTATTGTTCTGTATGTTGCAGATTCAAGAAAAAACCCTTTTTTCTGAAACCTATGACGTAAGGCACAATTGTCGCAAAAAAAACATTATAATTGCATCATGTATGGGCTTTAGGTTGAGTTGTTCACCTGATCAGCGAGGAGAGGCTTTTTGGAGTAGATCCGCAGCAGTGCTCCATGTGCAACCACACAGTACAGACAGCTGTTGGTAGCGCTGGTTGCCACAACAATCATCTCACGGTCGGCCTTGGTCAGGTTACCCGTTTCCTTCGCCATCAGGGCATCATAGTACTTGAAGAAAGCTCGGAACTCCTCTGGCCGATGAGCCAGTGCCTTGAAGACGTTGGGAAGGAACCCTGACTGGGTAAGAAAGAGACATGGTGTGACATGGGGTTCATAGAACCAAACCTGTCTTCTTCTAGCTTGTTCTTTAAGATTTCCAGCGAACTGGTGGTTGAAGATGTAAGATATGAGAATTAGCATTATGTTATAAATTTAAATGTTGTATTGTGTTTAAATGTAAGGTTTATTGAATGGCCTTAAGATCACAATAAACACATTACCTTTTCTTCCACTTCATCCATCAGGTCCTGTATGTC